ATGCGACCCTTCAGCCGCAAAAACTAAGGGACTTCAAGGATGTCTTAGTGCACAAGAGCGACGATCGAGTGTCGAATACTCAGAATGTGCTTGAATTAGATATTTTGCCGTCCTGAGATCCGAAATACTCGAAAGATCGGTCGAGGTAGCTAAATATCTCTAAATCAATATAATAGTTAATTCAGAATATCATTTGATCTTTATTTCTAATCGACGCATTTAAGCGATATTTATGATATGAAGCATAATATTTATGATATGAAGAAAGTCTGGATCTTTGATAAGGCGGCTTTTTGTGTTTTGAATATCTGATGCTTTTGTAATCTTGATTTTTCAAGCAGCATAATTGTACATAAATAATTTATAGCGCATATATTTATTGCGCGTTGCATTTTAACGGAACGAAAAGATTTAAAAATAAATTGCGAATGATGATTGCAAATCAATAATTGCATGATAGAAATGATTCGTTGCTAAATATTCATCTCGAAAATCATTCCATGGCGAAATTTGCCTTGAACTAGAAGTAATATTGCGAAGGATTTGGTGACTGTCAGAGACGTGCATGTTTAGGTATAATTCATTAAGGAATAGAATTTTTCTGAATACTATGCGATGTTATAAAATAGGTCAAACCGATAGCGATATGTTAGATATTATCGCGATTTGGGGCCGATTACGTACTGTTAAATAACTACGTCAAAATAAAAAAAAAATATGTACTTACAAAATATGCGCAACAGATATAGATACTTAATCGCGTTGGTTTACTTGCAACGCTATAGTTCGTGTTGAAAAGTAGTGGTTGTCAAATAAAATATGTTTTAATGTAGACATTGTTCACTCATTTCATCATTGCTTCTTTTGTAGCGTAGTAAAAATAAATCAACAGCGTTGGAACATATTAGATAAAAGTATCTAGATATAGTATCTAGATACTTTAGCTGTATCTAAGTGCATTACCTAGATCCTTATATACCTATATATGTACCTGAGTATTCTTTTGTACGATATTTTTTAAGTTTAGATATGTAGGTACAAGAGTATTTATTTATACATTTTATGTTATATTAGAAATTTAATTTTTGATTGTTATATAAATTATCGTTTTTCTCTAAGTCTCAACTTTGTGCAAGTGTTATTATATGCTTCATCACCTAGGTAATTTCATAGCGAATTCGATTGAGTGCATTCAGGGTGCACTGATGCACATTAAAGATGTCGTACATACACAAATTGACGTTAATATATGCGTTTAATATGAATATAAAAATGAATTAAACCATGAAATCTTCAATACAGTTTATTGTACTGTTAAGTAAAATCTGTATTTTATAATTTGAAATATTTGCATTTTACTTTTATGCAGATTAAATCAGTACAACGGTTTTAATATGCATTAGTACGTCCTGTTAGTATTTAGTGGAATGATGACTAAAGAACCTCATAAGAAGAGAAGACTGGTCATGTGATGTAATCTCTCTTGATTGGTTCCAAGCATTAAAGCTCGATCTGTATATAGAGCTTATTACGGATGCAGGAAAAATTCCTCACATTAGTAAGTAGTATTTTTTTTAGTCTCTACATTTGAAAATTAAACTGAATTGGAAATTAAGTTTTTTTTTATTCATATCTTTATCAAAGAACTTTAAATTTTCATTTCAAATAAAGATCAAGGAGATAGCTTTAAAGATTCAAATAAAAATAAAAATAAAATATTCTACAAAGTGCACGGTAGCTTATCGCTTTGACATATGACGATTATAATTTTCATTATCTAAACATTTTTGTATGTACCTACTACATAAGTAGTAATTTCATATAAAATAAAACTTGTTTACGCAATTTGTTGTTTTTCTTTTTCTATTTTTTTCTCTTTTTGTTAAAAATACCTAAAAAATATTTAAATTGTTCAGATACTTTTACACTATATCTATTTGTACCTATACCCAGGGATAATTAATTTAAAAATATATTTATACTTATAATTAAATACTTTTTCCACACAATATCTATACCTATACATAAATATCTTTCAAACGATATCTATTCCAACACTGGAAATCAATGATATTGTTTCTTTTAGAAAAAAATCAAGAAGATAGAGAATGAAAAAAATTGCTAATGTATAATTATGTGTAATTTTAAGTACAATTTTATATGAGTAATTCTTTTACATTTCTTTAAACTTGATTTTTTTCTAACATAAAAAAAATGCAAACATCATCTTTTTTCTTATAATGTGTCTTAGGCTTGATTGCACCAACGTTACTTTGATTTTAAATGAAACTTAAAATTCGTTTATCTCGTTTTAAAACCGAAAAAAGAGATAGAGATAAAGAGAGTTTTAAGTCTCGCTTAAAATTAGAATAATGTTGATGCAACTAAGCCTAATTCATACAAATTTCTCCAAAATTAAAAAAAATTTTTAGAATTGATATAATCAAAAACTGTTCGTGTACATATATTAACATGTTTCAAAATGCACTTCTGTAAGAAGAGCAATAAATATTAAATATTAGAAAAAAATAAAAAAATTGAAATAAATGTAACTTGAGGTAAATATTGTGAATTTTTTTTAATAAAAAAATATTAATTGTTATTAAAAATATAAAATCATCTTACATTATATAAATTTTTTTCTCAATTTCTGCGGCGAGAATATAAAACTAGTTCGAATAATATCATTACCCAGCATCATTAATACAACACAGAAAGATTGCAGAAACATTGCAAAATGATTTCACTGAAACATTGCAATATTGCATGGTGATTGCGAAACGTTGCTGAATCATTGTTGCAAAATTCCAATAATGTTAAGATGTCCACTTTTTGTTATATTGCAACAAAACGTAGCAATATTGCAATGTAATGTATTTGGATAAATGTTTTGGATTAAGTTAATCGCAGTGATTCTTTTTAAATCAAAACCATTCCGAGTCAATTAAAATCGATTAAAAAATGATGGTATGAAATTTATCAATAAAGTTCGGACGCTAGTTTATTCTTGCGTTCACATCATAAATACATCATCGATCACATAATATTTCGATAAATCATTTTCAACAGCTTAATTGCTTATCATTTTATCCGATAATAATGCATTGATTGTATCCAAACTCGATATTATACAATCTTTTGATTTCATATTTAAAATAAATATCAAACTTAGATAATGAAATGGCCGTCAAATAATAAATCAATAATAATTTACACGAGATTCTAAATAAAAAATTATTCAAATAGTGCCCAATTCCGCTCTAATTATAATTGTAATATCATATAATTATTATTAGTACATTAAAATATATTAAGATCAATTAGAAAAATAATATAATTAATATTACTGCATAGACTGAAAAGAAAAAATAATTCATCATTCAGTAATAAAATCGAAAACAAAGTTTATTAAGCGCAAATTCATACGTATATCATACACGCTTAATTTACAATACATTCAGATTGTACAAATTACAACACTTTCGCCGCCTGCTTATGTCAATAGAAATATAATTATATAACACTATATTATTATACTTAGTAGGGAAACGTCGAGCCTTTATTCACTTTTGAAATGATATTGACGAAATCCCTTATTACGACAATGTCTGCAACGCACAATGAATCAGAAATCGAAGAACGTGCGCAAAAGTCGCAAAAATGAAATAATATTTTTTCTGTTTTGAAGTATTTTATTGTTATTACTATTATATGATACATTATTTAATATAATTTTTAAATCCCAAATTATTTCATTCTGTTCTTTATTCAGTGTCAAACATGAATTATTTTATATTCATCATTTCAACTCTCAAACATGTTAAAAATTTCAATTATTTCATATTTCTTACGAGTTACAATTAACATGCGTTTAAGATTTTCTCAATTTGTAATTAATTTGGAATTGTACTTCATCGTTATCTTATCATTATTTGATTCAATGTTTTAAAACAAATTCCTTTTGTGTTTAGAATTGTACAACATTAAATCTGAAAATCTGATGATTTCTCCTTAGACATGCAAAGAAGTACAATTTTAATTTTTTGTATTGCTAAAGAATACTCTAAAGTGAACCGAAACGTATAATGGTAATTTGAATAAAAGTTTAAAAATTAACTAACTACGCTGACTTTTATTCCTGTGTTTTGGATTTGAATTTGGGAAAGTCCGTAGAAGATTACATTATATTACTAATTTCAATTATTTGTTTCATAAGAAAGGATTCATATAAACCTCATGGAAATTGAATTTCGATCGAATTATTCGAAAATTTGATATGTTGTAAATCCTGATAAAAAGCAATACAAAATACAATAACTCTTACTCTATTAGAGAGTCGTTCTCACCAGTTGCAAGGCTGGATGATAGCTATAATGACTTTAAATTTAACTAAGTAGAGTTATAGGTGAGAAATTTAATAAAAATACTGATATTTTCATTTATACAGTACGTTTTTCAGATTATTACAATAATTATTTAAAAAATTAATTTCTTCGGAACTATGGACCAATAGCTGAAACAGCTGGACACGTATCTTTTTTTTTTGCTTAAGAATAATCTGTAAAAAGCGCATTAAAATTCCCGACTCCATCACCTGGTGTTCTCCTTGCGAGTCGAAAAGTCCTCTACCTTTTTGAAATTTTCGCTACGTTAACAAGATATTAATTACAAAATATCGCTGAATATTGGTTTTCAATAAATTTTATTCAAGTATATCAACAGAAAAACAGTAAGCGACAAAAATTGTTTACTTTCTTCTAATAAAGTTCTAAAAATTTTTTAAGAATTTGTTAATACCGCACTTTCTTATGTTGTAAAAATAGTTGCCAATAAGAAAATGTAATACTATAAAGTTGATAACAAATTCTAAAAAAATTCTTAGAGCTCTATGAGAAAAAAATAAATAATTGTTGAAGCTTGCTGCTTTTTTATAAAGTGATAATACTTGAGTAAAAAATTATTGAAGACCAATATTCGGCGAATTTTAGTATCTTGTTAATTATTGCAAAAATTGCAAAATGGTAAGGACTTTTCGACTCAATTTAGTCCGCTCTATCAGTATACGAAATATTTGGTCATTCTAGGACACCCTATACGTTTAATTGTAAAATTTCTTGCTGTCTTGTTATATCCGTTATTTTTAATCCTTTTATTTAGACATCAGATTTATAATTAGTTACTTTTCAAACCTATATATATATACCTATATAAAGTTTGATGTAATTTCTTTATTTAGAACTCGAGTTTTCTATTTATGCACGCGTTCTTCGATTTCTGCTCCACTGTACGACATATAGATTTCACTCTAAATTACTGTAAATGTGGGTGACTTGGGACAGTGTAGGTAACTTGGGACAGCATGTATTTTTGTTAAATTTAATTGTGATATTCATTCATGTGTGATTGAATTTAACAAAAATACATGCTATTCCAAGTTATCTATATTTACGGTACTTTTACATTCGTGTAAAGTAAAATGGCTTTAAGGGGATGCTGAAATGATTAAATTGTGGGGACATTACAAATCGATATAAATCTTCGAATATATTGAATTCAAAAATTCTTTTACAGGATTAAAGTAGACGCAAAATTTGACGGTGCTGCAGTGGGCTTTATACTAAAATCGAAAAAAAAGTTAAAAACTTACGTTTTTTTCAACTCGTAGAGCTGTTACCTGACGTAGATGTTTCTTTAATGCAAACGTGCAGCTCCTATGGACAAAACGACAATGCAGCACCCAATGCTTTACGTGCACAAACAATACTGAGTTCATGAAATTAAGATTAAAAGCAATAATAAATTTATTAAGACTGTAATGTGAGTAATGTGAGTAAGCTTAAAAAGAAAAATTTATATCAATCTGCAAATTACGTGCATATGAATTATCATAGAGCTTATATTACTGTAAGGAGAATGGTCTATCCAATGAGTGGAAAGTGTTAGCAAGATCTCAGAGACAGAAAATGTATATTCTGTCCTGCTCAGTAATTTTTCTTCTTTCTGCGCATGTGCCAAAGAGGATAGAAATGGATAGAAAAATATTTCTGTCCTTTAGATCTTGCTTACAGCTCAATGTAAGTATTCCCTCTTTAATTGTATAAGCTCTATGATATGAATGCTGAGAGACTCGAAATGGTAAATAAAGTCTAAATAATTATGTCTAACAGTAGATGCTCGATCTTGCAAGAGATGGCATTGCAATATGTTAGATAGTGGCTACAACTTCTGATTGATTCTCCACTTTGATCCATTCGGTATTCTTCGAATAGTTCGAATTTTGTACGTTTTCCTTGTCGGAAAACGAGTGCGAAGAAAAAAAAAGATAAATAGCTACAAGCAAATGAGTAAAACCTGTGTCAAAAAGATTAGAAATCGCTTCGAGATTTTGAACAAAGAAGAAAATTAACAAATTACAATTGCACAATTCGGTTAATTGATCAACTCGATGGGTTTCTTCAGGTATTGTCCTCACTTATTGCCCGTGACGTATTTTAACAGTGCGTCCTTTTCTAAATGAGGACTTCCTCCACTCCTCGAATGCTCGGTCTAGAGATACTATGTCTATGTTACAGAATCTCTATTAGAAGGACAGATGAATGCGTTTGACACACAACGATATATAATAAATATAAGAAATGAATAAAAGATTCGATCGATATCGAATTTAGAATTAAAAAAAAGTCTGTATTGCATGATGTAAGAATACCAGGTGTTTCATTTCCGTACTTGCGCAATAGCAGCATAAATTTGGGCAAAAATTTAATTGGCTGTTTCAATATGCCAACGCTATTGTACGTAGGAAAGTCAATTTGAGCAAAAATTTGATGAGTTGTTTCCAGTATTATCGCCATTATGCACAACGGAATACCTGAGGTTTGTTCGCGTCGCATGCTCTAACATGCTTTAAAATGCTCCTGTCATAGTATTTACTCACTCTAACGCGCTCGTTGAAGTGAGTTATAGCAGAAGCACATTGAAACATGCTAGAGCATACGCGAACAAACCTCTGATATCCTTACATCATGGTCTATATTATCAATCTCGATCGAAGTTCGTCGCTCCAGCATCCCCTTAATTTCTTTAGGTTCTCTGGAAGTCAATTTAAATTAACCTTTTTGTTAAACTCTTTTGTCACGTTGATTCTCAGACTGATCACTCGAAGAATAATTTCTCAGACGTGATCTAGATCCCGGAAATCATTCTCTGACATGAAAAGATACCCGAACTTTGTGTCATGCAAAGTTCGCGGCTCTTCAGGATTCTCAAGATATCTCCTCCTGAGAATAGTTCTTCCGCGATTAAGGACGCGTTACGAGTTTATGACATACGTGATCCAGTCAACAGTCTTGGCCACCCGATGATAGATCCCTGGTTGGCCTGGCTGTGCGCAGGAATAACCTGCGGAGACAATGCCGATGAGATACCATCGACCAGTTTTTTCCAACATCAATGGACCTCCACTGTCACCCTAAAATTTAAACTCTTAAGAAAATGCATTCACGAAGAAGACATGAGAGAAGAAGGAAGCAGAACGACAATTCATCGTTCAAACAATACGCACCTACGATGACGAAAGCGCTTACCTGACACGAATCCTTACCGCCGCTGCGGTAACCGGCACACATCATCTCATCATGAATGACGACGTTGATGCCATTGGACCGATGCCACCGCTCACAGAGACGATTATCGATCACGGGCACGTCTACCGCTTGCAACGTTTTCGGTCGTAATCTAGAACCTAAATAAAATAATTCGTATAACAAGATAATTAAACAAAAGGTAAATAGTTACGTTCAGTAGAGAAAGCAGCTTTGCAACTGTTCTAAAATTCTCGAATATAATTGGTTTATATATTTAAATCCAATGAGAAACTAAGGGCAAGATCAATCATATTAAAGAATTTTACAACAGTTGCTTTTTATAAAAGCTGCTTTTTCTGCTAAACACAGCTAATGACAAGATTATGTATAGCAAATCAATATAAAGTTAAGTGTGGGATACATTTCTCTCTTTGAATGTATATGCATGTAAGTCACTCTGTGAAATTTTTTCTAAAATTCTTTATTTCAATATTTCAGAAATGTTTTTCAGAATTTCTGTATAATTTTATAACTTTCTAGAAAATTTCTCAAATCTTTTTAGTTGGATCACTTTTCAGAAGTACTGAGAAAATAAAAAATCTTTTATATAATTTTCTTTCTGTTATATTTATAATTCTGAAATATATTCTAAAATTTATAAAGTTTCCTTTCGTTCCATAATTGAAACAAAGCTTGTAAAAATTTTGGAAAAGTTTAAAATACTTTTTCAAAAATTTGTATAAATTTTAAGTTTTTTTCTTTAAAAAAAACTTTAAAAAAATATTAAAACTTTTAAAAATATTTTTCACCAATAAAAATTGTTTCATCAAAGTAATGCTTATATTAACAATATTGCAAGAAATTATCCAGTAATTAGAGCTAAAGTATTTTAATCCAGAATTTATATAATGAGAAAAGTGAATTTAAAATTGTAATGGACGAATGAAATGATTTTTTCACTAAGTTCTACCTGCTTGCAAAGCACCCCATCCCGCAGCCCAGCCATATTGCCCTAGAAAATCTTCATTTTTCTCTGGTAGGCATATGGGCCCTATATGAGGCATGTAATGAACCGGTCGATCTAATCGAAGCACAGCCACATCAAATCTGATGGATAACAGAGAGACGTGAAATAAAATTCATTCTGTTTAGCATTCACGATATGCATTCGAGGTATTCATATGAGGTGTTGTTAGTAATACATGCGAACACACCTATCTGCCTGTGGCGTGAATTTGAAATACGGATGCACTCTGATTTCTCGAACTCCAAAAGTATAAGCTGGCAGAGATTCGGTCGCAGAATTCACCACATAATCACCGAGAGTAACCTGGACTTGTCTCGCCGACGCTCTAACATTCGAAAAATTTATTAAATATTCTAATTAGTAATAACTTGCATTTAAAATTTAATAATAACGTAATTATTTTAAAATTATACAAGTTTTTACGTTCTCGTCAAAAAGAATTTAAATGGAGATAACGACTTCTGCTAATGAGCTACTCATATTGTTTCCAAGCAAACAGATTGTTCCCCACTCACTTTGCAACGCAATGCCCAGCAGTGACAACGTGAAATCGATTGACCAAAGTGCCGCCACATCTGCTAGAACCAATCCGTATGTAAGCCTGTCCAAAAAAAAAAAAAAAAATAATTTTAACGATAAGTTTTATCAAAATCCGAACTAAAGCCTAATACACAATTGAAAAGTACAGACAATAAAAACAGAATAATAGATTTCAACCTATATTAGAAACAGTCTATATCAGAATATACAGTTTTTGATAAATTTATTACTTCCTATACTACTTTTCAATTGTGTTGCTCAAGATGTCTCACATTATTGTCATATCTGACCTGCCACGGGAAACTGCCGAAACCGGCCTCGTCACCGCCGACGATCCTCCTCTGCGCAATTTGTTTCGAAACGATTGGTATGCCGCAACCTGCAAAACACAATTGCCTGGATTCGCATGCAATTAAAGTGTCACCGTTAAAATTAATAAGGTGATTGTCAAGTCTAATTATTTGGCGTGAAGATTTGCTCTAGAATTGCCAAATATTTCCTTCTGAAATAGACAGCAGGTATAAAGTAAATTAATTCCGGAGGAACGGCAGAACTCTTATAGTAATTAGAATATTTATATATACGTGAAGTAGTTGAGTGAAAAGCTATCTTTTTGTGATAAAACAAAACAGTGAGAATCTTGAATTATTCTGTGTGCACAGAACATGGAAATTCTATCTGCCGAAACCTGTAATTACAATAATGCGCAATGACGCTTAAATATAGTTCTGTGACCATCAACGCTTTTAAGTCGAGTCGCAAACTGTCAAAGACTATTATGTCGATTATATAATAATCGACCACGATATTTCTTCCCTGTTCTTCTCTTTGCCGAAATTGGACTTGGAGTAATGCGATGATTCTTTAATAACTCCTTCTGTCTGATTTTAATGTTGAGCCTTGGTCTGCATTGCATGTAACTAAGTAATTTTGACGGTAATCAAATAATTCGTGGTGCTATATTATTCACTTACATTGCCTGACAGATAAAAGAATAGCATTATTCATGATTGTTCGAATGTTAGCCTAAATTAAGTCTGTTGATAAAAATAATTTTGATTAAAGAACAAGTGTTTATAGTAATTTGGAAATCATATTTTTAATTAAATTTACATCATTTGAAGAACATAAATTTGGAAAATTTAAAGATATATATATATATGTATATATATACATTTTTATTTTAGATTATTATATCTTTTATAAATAACTTAAGCAATATAATATTTATAGTTCATTGAAGTTAAAATCATCACATGAAATACTTATCATATATACATTATAAAATCAACAGTTTAAAATAATGTCCTTGACAATTATTACAATAACTATTTTTGTACATGTAAACATACGGTATAGTAATTTTTTGAATTATAACACTTTGAAAAGAATACAAATTCTGAAACTGTTAATTTTATTCTACGATATATTACAATTTGAATTATAGGAGAGGTAAAAGATCTTTTAGATTTATTACTTTTTTTAGAACTGCGAAGGATATTACAAGGATATTTTTCGATTAGTCGCGAATAAATTCATGCGCTTATTAGTGCATCGCATTGTTTAAAATGATCTCTTGCGAAAAACGATTGTCGCAAATGCAATGAAGCGTTTTATCGAACAGATTATGAGAAGGAGACGGAGTATAGATCGCCAAAGTTTTATGAGCCGATGGCAATGCAGAAAAACTGCGTTTCACCACTAGAAAATTAATCCGCGAATGACGACAGCTGTTATGATATCTACATCCATTCGCCTGTTGCACTTTCTACAAATTTCAAGAGTTTATACTATTCCTTTGTAAGAAATGACCTACGATTTCTATTGTGTTTAATTTTTTTATTCATTAATTCAACAAGAATTACATTTCTTCGTTCAAGCGAACTTGCTTTTGACAAAACTGTTTTTATTTCACTATGAAAAATGCAAAGGATCAAGGAGACGACCGTCAAGAGACATTTTATTGGAATTCAGATGGATAATCATGTGGAAAAAACACAATGTTACAATACCGATAAAAATAATTTTTAGGCAAACATGCATGTGAAAAGGCAGAACTTTTTTATTTAACATGCTTGGATTGCATATCACGTACATGCAGATAAAGAAAAGATTGAAGAAACAAAAAATATGTCGACGAATAAAAGAATTATTGATATTAAAAGGAAAAAAGAACTCAAGAACACAAATGGAAGACATCCAACAAGGAAACTGTGCAATTTTTTTAATGGCAAAGAAGTGGAACTACATGCTTGGAATACACGAACGTGTGGAGTCGTAAAATAATTGATGACAGAATAATCGACAGAAATTAAAAGAAGAACAAGAGAAATAAGGAAGACTTAAAAGACAAGGTAAATATATAAACTTCTATATATTACACTACACTATTAAATTCATAACGTCAATTTATACTCAATTTGAGATTTTTTTGTTTTATTTTTCTATAAATCGCCACAGCAACTGTTCAATATGTAATTTAACTAAAATAATAGAGTTAGACAATTTATTCAAGAATATTAAACTTTGCTCAAAAGTTTATTATTTAGTAACTGCATATACTTTAATTTGTGAACGTTGTTTACTTTAAAACTAATTATTGAAATAAATTGATTTACAATTTGACACATATGGAAATTTTGAAAATAACAAAATGTTATTTAATTTAACGGATTGAGTTATTATTGCTCATTGCTATCTAACAGAGTAAACCGCTAACAGCGGTCTTTTTATTGAAGCCATGCCATCATATTTAATATGGGAGAAAAATCATAAACAAGATATAAAGATTTAATTTGTATTACCAAATTATAATAAGATTTTATTAAGACAGACATGAAATTAAATACTAATTATAAACATATTCAAGCCTATAATGGTCAAAGGCTAGATCAATGTCTAAATAATTCACAATAAATTATCTATATCCTATATATATATACATGCATATTCTTGTAATTATTCAAACTGCATGCCGAAATTTTTCCGGATTTTATCAAACGCAATTAAACTACTGCAATAATATTACAAGTTAAATTTTAAATTGACAAGCAAATTCTCAATCTTCGATATTATAAAGGTGTTAATGTACTGAAAACCTTAAATAAATTTATTGCGAAAAATATTACCTCGGGACTTGAACACGGATCTCTTGTATTCCGTACAAGCGTCCTAAGTCATTAGATCATCGAGGCTATGCCTATATTATTGCAGTAATTTAATTGTGTTTGATAAAGTCCGGAAAAATTTTGGCGCGCAGTTTGAATAACTACAAAAATATGGTATATATATGCATGTACATATGTAAAATATAATTCTGTGAATTATTTAGGCGTTGAGAAGATCTAATTTTGACTGTTATAGGCTTGAATATGCTTATATTTAGTATTTACCAAGTTATACAACACGTTAGACATTTTTCAATTTTTTCATTTAAAATCGACAATACCTATTATTTATTTATTTATTTAATTTAAACCGCACATATTCTTAATGCACAGTGCACATTATTTTACAGTAAATACGGCTATTAGCTTTACATTTTATTGAATTCTAGGTGTTAGCGGTTATAATATACAGAAGTTTATGGATAAGATCTCATGCTTTCAAGTGCGATGTTAAAATACGGATGGCATGCTCTTCGAAGGAAGGACTTACGATCGTCGCTGTCGGACTCCGTGTACAAATCCAGTGGAAGTGGCCGAGATTGATCTCTAGGTGACTCGATCAGGTTATAATCAGTGAGAGCTTTAGTGGGGTCTTTCCGCTGACAACACGCGTACATAATGCCGCCGCAGCTGCCGTCCAATAGGCCAGCAGTCATCCAGCACATTAGAAAAAATTCGCAGCTTCGTCCATCCGCACACAATGTATCGTCGCCTTTCCACAGCGGTCTTTTTTGTTGACGCATCTCTGCAGAAAATATGGAAACTCTTGTCTTCCACGACTGTCAAGTTACGTAATCGTCCTGTCGAGCTATGCGCGGTCGCAATTCCAGTCTGGCCGAAGAAGAAAACGTCCGAACAGGTTTGCGTGCGGAAAGACGTCATTGCGGTTACTAATCTAATCTCAATCTATATGACTACAAACCGGCAACAGGAATGAGAGAGATTCCGAGAGAATGCGACTCCTTTCAATCGGATGTCAATTATTAAAATTGAAAACTTATTAATATCGATCAACTAGATACAATTGTGACTGCTACATATTAACAGTTTAAGACACATACAGTGGCCCTAATAGTGCTAGAAGTTGAAGCTACTCATAGAATGCAAATTTTTCGAATATAGAATCAATTTTTCGATATTCAATTATCGATGCTTAATGCAATTATCAAGCAACAATTGAAGAAAATGTAAAGCCGCCGTTTTTATTTTCATCGATTACTCCAAGTCGAACTTCAAAAGATGAAACGGCCGCAAGTTAAAATCCAGAACTAATAGTTTGGGCATACAGAATAAAAAATTTTTTGTATTTGTGTTAAAACCGGTCCTTGTTAAAATCATTGCATTAAATTTTTAACATATCCAATTGTTAATTTAAGATAATGGAGTTGTGTTATTTGAATATTTTGTATTAAATTAATGTTCAAAAGTTCTTAATCGCCGAAACATCACAATCCATAAGTAAATAAATAATATAAAAATAATATATTGTATTTTAAAATATAAATATATTAAGATAATTAATGAATAAAATATGTCAATTTAACATATAAATGTTATTTTATCATATTATAAATATTAATTATACTGAAAAAATATACTGTCACAATTTGAATACAAATTGTGTCAGTGTTATAATACATTTTTGTGTTAACTTTTACATAACGTTTTCTAGCATACTTATCTTGTGATAATTAACACAAAAATTCTGATGGACCGTTTGGGAAACATGAAATATATCAAATTTCCGACTGTGGTGTAGCAAAACAGAAAGAATTAATTAAACTTTCAACTATTTGATTTTTACTTTAATTAAAGATTATATTTCTAACTTAATTCTATGATAATTTGTTTAAAACAAAGTACTGTTAAACGACAATTAAACGATTAAATCTTGCTGAAATCTATTATATTAGGATAAAACTGTTTAAGGTAATAAGTGCGATTGATAAAACAAATTTCGGCATAGTAATATTAATCATTTTTCTAACAGACTTTCTATAGAGAAACATTTGGGCAATCGTAAAAAGACCTCGTACTAGTTCAGTGTGACAACGATTTACCGTCCGACGACAAAGCGTGACGTTGGCGATGTTGTAATGATTTCCGTGTCTTGAACCACGACGGAAGTCGTCGACTGTAATGGAAATAAGTTTCGCGCGCCATTAAGAAGTAGGATATTGCGCGACTAATCATCCGATTTTTATGAGTTTATGCGAGAGGACGAAGCTATCGGGGCGATCAATTAAACAAAAATCGCAAATTTGAGAAGAATTAGAAATTCCCTGAAATAACATCATTATGGCTAACTATCGTACTTTGTAATTCCGTTGACAAGTTGCACGTACCTGTTTCCAATCTTGGGTAATCATCTGGCATCTGTTTTCGGAGATCTGAAATAAAGATGCTATTCTGGAAAAGTGTCATGGTAAAAAACAAAAGAAAAAAAAATGTTTCCTGCAAAAAGAACAGACCATTCAATTTTGATCTTGAAAAAAATGCATAGAATTTCTAATTCAATAAATAATTCAAACAAATTATTTAAAATTAGAAGAGAAAAGAAATTAAGAGTTAATGAATATGAGAATTAATTAACTCTATTCTTATAGCTATTTAAGATTACTTAGTTTAATATTATTTAAGATTAAATTTAAGATTAAACCGTCCAACATTTTTGTATACACAGTTTATATACATGGTTCATAATGATAAATTAGTGATTGTCACAGTTTGTTGCACTGGCATTACACATCCTAGGTACGCTTGCGAGTTAGTTTATTTGATCACGTCGGTTCGTTTATAATTGAAGAGATATTGGTTTGTTTATAATTTAAATACTTTGAGAGAGAGTTTCATATAATAATGTATTTTTGTATTTGCATGCTTCTCTAAGCACTCCGTTGATGAAGCGCTGTTTGCAGCAAATTGAATTACCAGAAATGACGGGATTATGCGAGTACGCAAAGGAAAGGAAGGAAGTAAAAGGGAAAAGTTATTTATTGTGCATTCAAAGAATAACGAGCAAAGATAAACGCAGATCTATATGAAAGATTGCTTATATATCTACTAAGTATTAGAGGTGTCTAATACTCACCCATAATTTCTAATATTGCATTTGAAGCATTGAGAACGTGTATTTAAAATGTACATGAATCTGAATCCTTTAATTATATTAGAAATTATATGCAATTTTTTTTTACAGTTTATAGTCCAAGAAATTATAATGGAAGTAAAAAAAAACGTATCTCTATAATTTTCAGTTAAATATTTATTTTAGCTTTTCTGTCAATGCACGAGGTATCCATATTCTTCAGTAAATTTTTTTTTTTTGTGAGAATTTGATCATGACACTTCAAAAATTCTATTCTTTGAACGACAAAAAGAAATAATTTTACACAAATTTTATCTTGTATTTATTTTTAAATTTTTTACGAGAACCTTGTGAAATACAGCAGTGAAAAGACAAAAAATTATTGACAGAAGAGTTAAATTCCAACTGAAATGATAAAAGAGATTGATATAATAGTACTAATTCATAAATGGAAAATATAAGCTCTAAGTGGCTATAATAAAAATTAGATTTAGTATTATTCCAAAAAGAGAAAAGTAAAAAGAAAGCGGATATTTTACCTCTAATATCGTCCTCGAAATCTGGCAATTGGTTAGACTGCGGAAAAAAGGAAGTCGCGCCACCTCCGACCGGCGGCAGGAAATCGTTGTCACGGAATATCAGTCGTGGTGTCCGATGGGACATCACCGGCCTGTTGTAATCGGCAGGAGTTCTCCAGAAGGACTTGTGTTGTCTCCACGACCCTGGGAATTGAGTCTGTGGAATGAAACGCGTGACCGGATGCGACCCAAAATTCCTGCCATGTGGCGTCGAACTGGCCTCGAGGAGATAAGCAGATCCTGTTGGAAATCGCACGTATCTTCGCCGGCGGATTGTCACTACCCCAGTATGATTGGTTTCGTCTCTTCGCATATCGATAACCGAGGAATCAGATTTTGTAAATTGCTCTATCTCGCTCGTCATCAAACTCGAGGAAAGACTCAGGATGACTGCAGCTAGAAGCCAATGATGTGGCCTCGATATATCCATCGTTTTACTGAACGATTAGAAATTGATAGAGATCAAATGCGCAAAGTTCCGTGACTCCGTTTATTGACAATTGATTTCTGCAAACGGTATACGTTTCATTTAGAAATTCGCGCATTCATGTAAATTTATTTCAATTAACCAATTTGCTCATTGACTTCATTCCGTTTTCCATTTCCACAAAGGATTCAAGTGATCTCGTCGTTTGGTGGTTGTAACGAGATAAGATATAATAAATTCCTTCACCACGCTGATTTCGCCACCTTTAAAAAATTTAAAGATTATATCGAGGGTAAATCAGAAGGTAAAGTAAATTTATTTATTCCTCACTTATAAACGTTAAATTTGTTTGCAACAAATTTTGTGTAATGATCCATAAGTCTTTGGATTTTTAATCTGCAAAGAAGATTTTTAGTTGCCCTCGAAAATATATATGCATCGATTTCTAAACTTTACTATTTAGCTTTTTTCTGGTGGAACTCCTGGTTCCATCAATGTATGATTAATTTTATCTCAGTTAACAAATCTAAGAAAAAGATGAAGAGTAAATTGAATTGTGATTAAAATTAATCTTACATTGATGCAGACTTGTACAAAACTATAATTCAATTAACAATTACAAATTACAATTATAATGTAATTCTTAATTCAATTAGTAATTATATTTCGTAATTATTAATTGTTAAAAACAATTAAATGAAATAATTGCGAAAAGGAATTGTAAACAGATTATTATATACAATTATTTAATTGTTAATTGTTAATTGATTAGCTATAATTGTAATTAGAATAAGAGCAATTAATGTTTTATAGCAGGGCTCGGTACGATTTTCAACTCGGCTTCGCCTTCCGCTATTCTTCTCACTTCATTGTCTCACGCGCAGTCCATTGCTGCTCAGCAAAGCTTAGCAGCAATTGGACTGCATATCATACTCATAGACATGAGGTCCACGCTTTGGGTGCTCACACTGTAAACTTTATTCTATCTTCTTTTTTCATTTAGAACTAAAACTGAACGCTTACGCGTTAGTTACATTGTATGTAACAATTATATATTGGGTTAGGGAAAAAAATCTTTTTACACGTTAGTAAAAAAAGACCTTCCCCTATCAATATCTTTGTGTGTGTGTGTGTGTGTGTTAAAAATAATTAAAATTTAAGTTTAAAAGAAGGAAAGTTTAAAGTTTGAAATCTCTACTTTTGAATGGTTATACTATATTTTTTGAAAAAATTTATGAGTTTTGTAATTTTGACACAGAAAATTACAAGAAAAAAATGAAATATTTTGTTTTCTATGTAGGTCTATAGTGTGTCCAAAAAAAATTTTCGACTATCTAATTGTGAAATCTTTAAAAATGTTCCTACGATTTTTTGTTCCTGAATTATTCGCGAATTAAGTAAAAAGGAATATTTTGACTTTATTGCTCATAACTCCGTTAAAAATTATCGTATGCAATTAAAAATACAGAGTCTTAAGTTTAAATATTGCTCAATCAAGTGATGTAATTGCTTGGAAAGTTTTTCAAAATAGATTATATTAATTATTAATAAAGTATATTAATTGCTAAAAAAGTCTTTTTACCAACTTGTAAAAGGACTTTTTCCCTAACCCAATATTACTTGGATTATTTTAATTAAATTATACAATCAATTACATTAAAATTGATTAACAAATCTATACTCAACTTGTAATTTTGCCTAATATAATTGTAAAAACAATTGTATCTTTAAGATCTTTTTCCGTAAATTTTAATAGTAATAAATAATCAGGATTGATAAATATTATTTTTCAGTTACTTTGCTGTTACTTTTTATAATAAACAATTTGATGACGATGTTGCAATTTTTAATGACGGTAACGCTAACTAACTGAATGCTAAAGTTGTACTTAAGTTAGAAGAATTCCTTTGAAAAGTACTATCACCATTACGCGTTACTTACTGAAAAAAATAATAAATAACGAGTAATGCGTAACAATTAGTAATGAGTAGAAGTAACGAATAAAAAGAAAGAAGTAACGCGTTACAAATTAGGAATTATTTTTTCAGTAACAAATAACTTTTTTAATTTGTTACAAATAATGTTTGATTTTTCTAAATCTGATGTTGCCATTACCGCCACAAAAAATTCAATGTCATTACCAAATTGTTAGTATAACAAGGTAACATTATTATAACAAGGTAAAAGTCTCAGTTGTCTTAGAAAACGATCAGTCTCAGTTATTTAGGAAACGATGCATATGTGGATTTGAGGGCAGCCAGAAGCTTTTTTCATAGATGATGGATATCATCATAGATAAAGCCCATTGAATGAAACATCAAATTAAACCTAACCACAAGTTAACTAGATAATAAAAAATTGGACCTATGAAAACTTGTGGACCGTTATAAAAAGCCTGATCTACAATGTGCTTTTTGCTTCCTATTTCTTTTTTTTTTTTTTACTTTTTGCCTTTTCCTTTTTTGTAAACATTTTATTATGTTTTTGTCACGTGTTACATGTTTCTTGTCACTTTTGAAATTCGTCAATTTTTATTTCGGACAATAGAAAAAACAAGATAATGAAGTAAAAAATAAAAAGCAAGAAACAGAAAGCAAAGAACACATTGTGCATTATTAAGTTGGGCGATTATATTGAAAAATAATGTACACGTATTTTGCTAATATATTTTGTACGTACAAAATTAATAAATAAGTTCTTTACTTTCTGATTTCCCCTCGTATAATACACAGTATGAATTGTTATTTACAAAACAATCGTAACAAGGTGTATATTACATACAGTTCTGTAAGACAAGCTATATTTTACTTTTCTAAATGTGTATCAGATAAGACAAGACGATTAGTCCGAGTGGTCTTTCTATGTGCTATAATATTTGGATCCTAAATAATCTGACACTACTCAATTCAGACTGATTTTCTCCTCGAGTTTCACGAGTCGTTAATCACTATCGGACGCCATATTAGAACGCCTGATTCCTAGCAAAAGGAAATGCGCATCGCAGTCAGACTCGCAGTCAAGTAGAATCGAAGATTCTGGTCCAACGTTAAGGAACACCACGTTATTCATACCACTGTAATTATTGGTAGCGATTTCGCGGTAAATCCAAGAACTTTCTTTTGGCCATCCATGATTATTGCTCCCGTTTACAAAACGAAAAGTAATGTAGATTGAAAACATGATACATATTCTACATACCAATTTAGTATTTGCATTCAACAAGTTTATTATTATTATTGTTGTATTTTTAGAAGATAAGGATTTTTAGAGGCTTTATCTACTTTTTTTTATTAAACATATAATCTACAATCGTTCGTAACGAAGTTTCTTCAATATTATTTCTTTTAAATTTAAATTCTACTATCCATGATTTAAAGATTGATAAATACACAGGGAATTTTTTTGTAATGCTTAAAAGCAAATGAAACAAACTCGAAAATAATTTTCACGTGGCCAATGAATTCTTCTTGACTGGTTGGGACGAAATCCAGTTTGCGTCACGATCCTCCGTAACGAGTGAAAGTAAAGAAGTTCACCCGGAACCAAAGATCATGCCATTTATACGAGAAAGATTTACCGAACGTGCTTAAATCCATCAGCATTTCTGTTGAATGAAATTATCACCCACGAACGGCATTAGCAAGAGAAAACGACGCGCTAGTAACACTTTAATAAGGCTTCCTCATAATTAACTCTAAAACCTGAAACCTGAAATCTCCATATTTTCAATCGCTTATGTAATTATAATATTAGTTCGCTAACTTTTTAAAAAATAATTCTGCATTAATTAAATAATCAACAAATTTTTATCATAAACATAAAAATATCTATGTGTAATGAATAGATTTTCCCAGACACTGATTTTGATCGTTCACCATGAGATGGTACAAATAGAAGTCAGTTTTCGAAGCGTTAGAAATGCCAAAAAGAAAATAAGAATAAAAGAACATAATTGATCATTAAATAATCTTGGTGGATGACCTTGCCCGGGCCATCGCCAATCGTGATAGTGAAGATGAACGATTCGATGTGTTAGTAGGTCATTGGCTCTACGTCGAGTGGATTCATCAGAAGTGAAAGTACACTTCTTGCGTGCACGACAATGTGAAGTTCATGTTCACGCAGCTACCCGTCATTCCGGCGATGGAAGTTACGAATCGCTCATATGGTTCTCCAAAGAATCCGAAATCTCCTGCCTGCTATTTCCCCTGTAATTGTCCATTGTCACCACGAAATACTACCACGCGAGGAATGCACGTGAAACCACGTTGAGCACGGTGATTTTCACCGTGAAAATGTTTGATTACTATAAACGCGATGCCTTTTGCCCCGATCTTTAAAATTCCCAACTGCGATTCCCGACATTGTTATTTTTCTTGTAAATTACAAATAGCGAAACTACAGATAATTATGTTTTTCTTTTTAGATTTGCAGCTTCGTCAAGTGTTCCTCAATGAACAGACAAAAGACAGATATACGTATTAAATTGTGAAATCGAGTTCTGATGTTGATCACGCGATTCTGCGTACATTGATCTTTTAGATGTTCTTTTCAGCTGAACTTCTTGCACCATTCATCTTTCCTCTTTTTCTATCTATTATACGTTGAAGAGAAAAGAGAAAAATAAACGGTAAAAGAATTCAACTGAAAAAAAAAACAGATCAGATTATATACGATATACTTCTTTACTAATAATAAACGCTAATTATTTTGATAATAACTTCAAATTTCTTTTCTTTTTTGTTCATTTTTATCCTTTTAATGTAAGATCAAGATTAAATGTTACAGCTTTGTTAGTAAAAGCATTTTTTGTTTTACTGCAATTATTAAGAGTCACTTGGAAAGAATAGTTTCGCTAAACATTTAATTAAAAAAATCTAAAAATAATTTTATTAAACCATCAAAGTAATTACGTAAGATGCTTAAATTGATTGTTAAATATCATAATTTTTTTCCAATATTGCTCATCATGCTTGAACATACTATATAATTATTTTGATAATCCAATAGAATTATTTTCAGATTCAAAAAACATTATAATTCAAATTATTATTAGATTAATATGTAAAAGTTAAAAAAAAGTTAAATATCAGCGTTAGTTCTTGATATTTAATGTCTTCCAAATTTTTAACAAACGTTTCGTCCTTAAACTATTAGGTGTTGGAATTAATTCGTAGCGTTTTACAAGAGATGGGAAGTACTTTCATTAATGTATTTTTTAATGCTCATGTGAAATAAATAACATTCTTTCATTAAAAACGCT